GAAAGTGTGAACATTTTTGCTATAGCCAATTACAAAAGTACCCTGGCCACACTGATTGATTCGTATTATATCCCGGAGGCTTAAGGGTGCATTAAGTAATTAACAACAAGCCCTGGAATTTGGGACTGTGGTGGCTTGTAATGGAAGCAGCTGCCATGGGAGCGTTTTCACAGTGGGAGGAAGAGACTTGCTAAATGGACCAGAGATTAACTGTAGACACTGGAGAACGTAAGCTTTTGAAAGCCAAAAGATTAACAACTGTGCACATGTGTAGTGATTGATATTGTTAAATTTAGGGCTGTTTAAGAGCTTGTGGTCAGTGAGTGTGCAGCCCTGCAGAGAGACCTCCTGAAGTCAAAACATAATTGACAATCATATGTGACTAATGCTTTGATGGCGAATAAATTAAGCCGGATGTCATTTCAGTCAATACCATGAAAGAATCAAAGACGTTCTAACATTTTGAAGCGTGAGGTGTACATGTGTAATTGTGGTGTAAAAACATGTAGACCATCTGTAACCGACCAAAGTGCAGACCAAACCTTTAAAATGACCAAAAAATGTCCCTGGATTCATGATCTAAAATTCTTTGCTTTTACCTTCTATTGCAAAGGGCTTCCCAACTGTCAGCGTTTTGCATTCTGCATCTATGGAGACCTCATAGTCCAGCAGGGCTTTGTCCATGATGAATGCATCCAGTTTCTGGGGGTCGGCCCTGTAAATGTTCAGCAAAACATTTACTTCAAGTGTCCCCTGTAGTAAATTACTGTGAATAAGAAATCTTTGATAAATGAAAAGAAATGTTTTGGGCAAATTTGGCAATGAAAACAACAACAAAATAACAACAACTGCCAAATCGGTTATTCTCAGTTCCAGAAAATACGGCTATTTCAGTTTCACCACTGATTCCTAACACGTAATGACAAAGGGCCTCTCAGACATTTTTACTTTTGGTTAAGTTGTTCAAGGTTGTGATGAGAGAGGAACTTCCATGGAATCATGTTGGTTGAAACAAATGAAGTAATCAGAAATTAAATAATCAGAATTATTTCATTATTAGATTTTGCAAATATTTCTTCTATCAAAAGACCATTTTTAAATAGATTATACCTCTAGCTTGGTTAACTTAAAAAGTGTGTTTTGTTCAGTCAAACTAATTTTCTCTTTGGCCTGTTCAGTGGAATAAAGGAATGGATGGAATGGATGGATGTAAAGTTTCCCCAAATGACCATGGTTTAAATGTCCTTTTTTTCTTTGTTGATGCAAATACGTTGGTTTCAGTTACGTTTTTTTTAAATAGAACACTGAATGCAAGGCAAAAAAAAAAAGTTTTGGGGAAAATGTGAGACGAGAGAATTCCTTCGCTGGATTCTGGATGTTTGCACAGGAATTGAAAATCAGCGATCTGATGTGGCAAACTAAACTTAATTCAGAGGTCTGCTACACTGAAACTAGTTCTCTTTGAATTCTCCGTGTCCCTCCCATCACCTTACTGTAAAAGGTGACCTGGAATAAAAAAGTAAACTCTTACTCTCTTATTTCATTTCACGGGTGTGTGAAAGTTAAAACGATAGAACACAGTCTGCCTTTTCCTTCATGGAGAATCAACTCTCACGTAAGAGCAATAACAAAGGCAGGAACAATAAACAGCTTTTATGTTTACTAGCACATGTTTCACAAGGTTTTTCTTAATACAGTTAACCGTGATTTCCCTCAATGTTTTGCCTCTTTTGAATCTAATATCTCTCTCTGGCTGGCCTTGTTTGTCTTTTCCAATTCTTTCTTTGGCACCAGTGCAATCACAGCCTCTCTATAAGTTCTCCTGATCTATTTGTATTCCTCACAAGTCAGTTACAGAGAGGTGAAACGTTAAGTCACAGCAGACGGAGAGAGGCTTTAACAAATCAGATCTAAAAATGAAAGCCAGAGCCAGCTGGGATACAGATGCTACAAAGGCTCTCCTCAAGCTGCACAGTGTGTTGCTTGGTTTATTTATTTATTTTCTTTTTTTCATCAAGGACAGTCCTTGAAACTCTGAAACCCTGACCCATCTTCCTCACATACGCAGTCATAACCTTGCTTTTGTATACAGTTTATAATGGCTATTTCTCCACCTTAGTCCAATACGACTAAAAGTGTTACATCATTTCCTGCCTCATAATAACATAATGCATGGAAAGTGCTCGACTATGGTGTTATTCACTGGAAAATGCACCATTGCTTATTAGCCTCCGCAGCTAAAGGCTTCCAATGATACGTTTTCTTTAATGAAACATTTTGTCAGTGGAATACGTTGTGTAAGAAGCTCAGTCCAAAGGTTGTCCTAACAATGATAATGAACTTGTCTTTAGTCGTTCTCCAAATGCTTGAATTATATGTTAGTCAGGCTGAAATGAGTTGTTGAAGTCTTAGCTGCCAGCAGACCATTAAACTTGCACTTAATCAGTACATTTTAACACAAATGGCCTAAGAGTGTGATGATTGATAATGTTGTATAAAAGCCAATTTTGACTTTTGTTTCAATTTTGGTTTAATGCACCGTAAAGAATACTTTAAAGTATTCTCTACAGATAAACATCCCTTTCTGTACTTAATGTCAGTAATAAATGTCCAAATGCACACTCAGAATGACTGAAGCAGACTGATAGGTGATACTTTACTTGAGCTGATGATGTCGGAACCATAGTTAATATGTCAGTTATCTTTTACTTAATGTAAGTGATGTTTTATCTTTCCAATTAATTTATATATGCAGTTCTGTTGATTTCACAAGTGATTAAAAGGCAGGTTGTGTTGCTTTTTTTATCATTCATTATGTTTACAGGTTTGGTAAAGCAAAATGGGGATAAAATTGGAATACTTTTCATTTTTGAAAAAATCAAAACAAATAACAAAACAATAAAAAGGTGGTAAATTTGGGGTGGTACTAGAGTGGTCCACGATGTCCCTGTAAAAGACACTAAACTCCAGAGCAGCCTTAGCACGGTCAGTAAGACACATAAAAGAGAAACACTTTCAGCACTACAAGGTTTAAGATACAAAAAAGTGAAAAATACATGGGGACCATTTACCATTTCTTTCTTTTTGTCAATGTAACAGCAGGACCTTCTTTCAGGTTGAATGCAAACATGATTTACACATCTGTCCCTTTTTATTTCAAGAGGCCTACTTAAAAAAAAAAGTTCTACTTTAATTTTCTACATGCATGGGAAATGCTCGCCAGCAGCAAGTGCTGACAGCTCACATTTGTTAAATTCTCAATAACCCCTTAATTCCAGATTGCAACACTTACTCAAATTGAAATTGGCTCTAGGTTGGGACACCTGGGATTTTGCCAAGGGTGCAGTCTGACATACCTCACAACATGCAAAGCAAATAGCCCAAAGCTGCACACTTAAACTAGTCAAATCTAATTTATCAGATCAGAATGTCTGTTCCTGCCTGTTTCTGTTCAAAATACTAAAACGTATAGCCCAAAGGCTGATTTCTACATAGTAAGAGGTGCAGTGCAAGAGCCCACTTGTGCATATCTACTGCTGTCTCTATTTTTGATTTCAGAAATCATTATCAAGGAAATACTTCAACCAGTCAGAAAGATACAAAATCAGTTTTCGATTCCAGTTTCATACACATACAGTTTAAAATTCCTGTAGCCCCAGTTGCAATTACATAATTTAGTTAGGGCACTTTTTAAGCTTTTCAAAATAAAAAATAAAAATGGATGAAAGGATTTTTTGTTGATAAAGTAATAAGCTGTAGTTATGTTGTACATACTACTCTCCATTAGTTGCAAGAGCTAAATGCATTCATTTGGTCAACCAATGCAGACCATTTAGACTGTTTAGAATTGTATTATTTCACATTAAATTGCTACACAGTAGTTCAGTCATCTTTCTAAGACTATTTATGTGGTTAATTCAGTGTCATATCCAAATAAGAACTCCAAATAAAAGTTAAGACACCATGACATCAAGCTGTGAATTATAAACTGCCATTCTGAAGCCTCGAGTCTGACTTCTACTGTCTTGCTCTTTAACAAACTGCTTTGCCACTTTGAGACACGAGGACCGAGATGAGAGTAATACTTCAAAGCCATCTGACTGTTGTTTGAGGATTAAGCATGTAATGAGTTATGGAGTTTTTTTTGCAATACGGCCACCACACTCATCACAGATGTTGGTGAGCCTTATTGCCATTGTTTTGTACTTTCAGGCACATCTGCACTGGCTTCACCTCTAGCAGCAGTGGATTTTACCCATCGTTTTTTTTTCATAGAGCGTATGAAGCGTGTCCATGCTTATCTGATGAGTGGGGCTTAGGACAGAGAGTGAACCGCTCCAGGAAAGGAGCTTTGCATTCCTTTTGTTTGTTTTCCTTCTAACTAACTAATCCCAATCGCCACTATTCTTTGCCCACCCCGTCGTTGCAGCATATACACTACACTTGAATATGTCCCAGATATATTTCAAGAATATATTACTGTATTTGTGATAGCTATTGCCCGCTCCCTCGGGGGAATAAACCTTGACATGGAAGTTATTTCACAGTGGACTTGTATCCTGTCTTGTTGCCAAGTTGTAATTTTCTCATGGTGACAGTTTTAGTTTAACCCTGTAATCAGTGACTGGTATGCTCGGTGAAAAAAAAAAAAAAAAAAAGGGGAAAAAATCTTGTTTCATCCTTTCAGATTGTCAAGTAGTGTCCTTGCCTCAGCCTGCTTCCCAGCTGCCTTTTCACACTACATTCTGCTGCGCTCCGCGGGGATGCCCGTTGAATGCTGAAGCGGCTTAGGATGACAGCAGTGTCAGGGTACAGAGGAGGGTGAGATCTGAATATGTCTACAGTGACATCACTACACATGAAATATTTTTCAGTTTATTTTTTACAAATGTTGACTCTCTCCTTGTGCACATGATTATTTATTAGCATGGCGCATTTTCACTGTTTTGAATAGCGATTTTCAGGAATGTTAACAGAAAATGGCACTTTAGATTCAGCCTGCATTGGTAAAAATGTCATATCCAGGTGTCTGAATTGAAACTCTCATATGTGCATGCATACTACTCAGTGTACGGCCTGTACTGTAGTCTTACTTGAGTTGGCCGATGCCATCTGGTGTTGCCGGGACATTGTATCTTCTCATGTATTCATGCATCTCTGGGAAACTCTTCTTGAGATAGTCCTCTGCGCTGCTTTCTCTTACTGTAGCAAACCGGAATCCCTGAGAGGGATGGTGCAACTGCAGGTAAGAAGGGAAGAACTAGGAATTACTTGTGGAATAACTGGTATTTTTGTTTTTCTGTTGAATGGTTCTTATTTTCTTTGGTTCTTCAAAATGATTAATTTCTTTTGCAACCCATTTTTATTTCTAATCACACATTCTTGCGTAAAATTTAAATTTGGAAACCTTTTACTTTTTGTACCTTTGGATCGTGTATCCCTGACAGTTGCTCATAGGTTTTCTCCCCGACCATGACGGCGGCCAGGTTAGCGGTGTAGGTGGACAGACAGAACAAACAGAAGATTGCCCAAAGGTTCATCAGCAAACGTCCGGTCCAGCACTTGGGCGGTTTTATGGCCACCGTTCTCCCGAACAGAATGGCGTAGCACACGTTGAGCGCTGAGGAAAAGGAGAAGACTCGGTCGCGGTTGCGTCCGCGCGGCGTCATCCCAAAAGGACTGTGCCACTCGTACAGGGTGAGGAAGATGGCCGTGACGTGGAGAGAGACGAAGATGCCGAGCCACATGGACCAGTGGAGAGGCCACATGAAGGCACCGATGGGCGCCGCCGTGTCGCGGGTGCGAACCTGGATAGGTGAGGGGACAGGGTTGGAAAAACTTTACGGACTGCTGTGAACAAATATGGAGAAGCCTTCATTATCAAATACCATACCAACCAATACCAACCAATTCTTGTCCTTGACAATATGTTGGTCTGTTTCAGAAATACATTACTGCTGGTGTGCATTACATGAAGAAGTTGTTGAAACCAGGATTAATAGGGGTGAAAAATGCTATTTAAGGGAACAAATGTGCAGAAAAGAAAGTATTGACCTATCACAATCCCAAATCAAGTACAGACCGGAACCCCATTGTCAGGTAACATTAAAAAGCATTTTCACTCTGTACCTAATCACCTATTTACCCTATAATCAATAAATCTAGTTTAAATGCATCTTTTATCATCATCTGCCATCCTAATTTCATCATCTAACCTGTAATTTGAATACAACTCTCTAAAGAAGCTATGCATCACTCTATTCTTTCAGGGAAGATACAGTGAAATGGGGAAAAAAGACATCCACTGCAAATAAAGCAGAACGTTCCTCTGTGCAGATGTTCTTCAGAGGGAAGAGAGGGTGATTACAAGCAACACTGTGTCTGTCATCTGGGGAGACAAACTACAGTAATTGTGGTAATAGGCTCACCCCACAAAGCTGTGCAATCACCACTCCATCCCCAAATGGGGAATTGCAAGAATCCAATAATGTGGGGCTTTCAGTGATAAAAGTCTGTCAAACTGATAGTCACCACCAGCAAATCAAGCAAAAGGAGTTGGGCTGAGGTTGATGACACACGGTAAAGAGAGATGAGTCACATAGTGACAGAAATGAACAGAAAAACTTAGAGAAAGAAGGATCTAATAGAAGAAAGATAAAGTTTTAGACTGGTGGTACTAACCAGAATTCCCAGGCTGGTGGAGAAGAAGGGTGAGGTGAAGTCAATCACTTGGCTCCTGGCCGAATTAATGCTAAAAGATGTTACGGCCAGGTGAGCGGCCCCACTCAGCAGATCACCGACCAATCCCGTCCAGCGGCCGTTCTTAAATCCACCATACTTCCCGTCGCCGACGATATAAAGATCAAAAGTAAAGCCCAAGTCCTCCGCCAGTTTCTCTAACAGGTCAATGCAGTAACCATAGCAACATTTCTTCAGCTCTGTTGGAACAGACCCATTGGGCCCTCCGAGGTTCTGGAAAAGTCCTTGCAAGATTGCGGATTCATTCGTGAGTGGATCCAAGCACAGCTGGCCTGCTGGACACAACCCGTCCCCGTCCACCTCACGGGTGAAAACAAACGGGTGCTCCACCAAAGTCACCACTCTCATGTGCAGCCGAGTGGATCGGCGCCAGTCGCCTCCGCCCCTCGACCCGGGATGACTTGGCCAAGCCCCCTGATCCATCAGAACTCTCCCACTGCGCCAGCGTCCCAAGCGTGTCCAGGTTGGCTGACCGAGGGGGTCCAGCTGGAGGGACCAGATGTAGTGATGGGCCTCCGAGTTGACTTTCTGACTGTGACTCTGTCTGGAAATAAACCCACTCTGGCCCTCGAACGTGGTGTTGGCCAGAAATCTAAGGGGAGCAATGTTGGAAAAAGGAAAAGAGGATTGTCAGGAAGCATAAAGGGAGGAAGGGGAAGGAGGGCGGTGGAAAAAGGATGAGAAGAAAACAGGAGGGCAGAAGAGTCAGAGACAATTTTCTGTCTTTCCCCAGGATAAATTCACACACTTATACTGGATAAACAGTGTTCCTCATGTGTTAAAGTCAACAGTTGGTAACATTCGCTAGCTTTGGAGCCACTAAGCTATAAAAAGAATTATATCAATACATTAAATTCCATGAAGCTGAATGTGACAAGAGCAAGTACAAAAAAATGAAAAAGTTACATCAAGCGCTGCACCTGCAAGGAAATTGCAAAGCAGTTAAACAGAGTTTTTGGATTAGACATGAAGGAATATTGGAAGTTTGTCTTGTTATTTATCCAGGTAGGGACTTGAGGGATCATAAATAACGGTCAGACATTTACTGTCTACTTATCAAGGTGGGAGCCAAAGCATTCAAATAAAATCTTAAATCGATTCCTAATCCGTCAGGTGGCTTGTGAAACAGCAAGGTCTTGAGTAACGTGCAGTGACTTAAAGTCATATCAAATAGCAAAAAAAGTTTAAAAAGTGACGTTAAAATTGATAAAATGAAATGGAAAAAAACAAACAATGGAAAAATGAAACAAGTGCATGTAAATGTAATAAAAAAAAAAAGATTCACAGCTATAACTTCAGTGTGAAGTCATAAAAATGATACGTATAAATATGTATACAGTAAAAATATTTATACTGTAATAAACCTTAGTTAAACTGCAGTTACCTCCCTGATAAACTCTTTCAGCAGAGCTATAAGAAGTACCCACAGATCAGTAAGTATATGGATATCTGTTTCTATATCTATGAAATTGTGCATCCATGTATCTTTTTATGTATAAAGGAAGCTCAAAAATGTTTGTATTCATGTGTTGAACACTACCCAAACAACAACAATGTGGAACAAAAATCACATAAAGTTAACTACAACTTGCACAGCTGTCACAGGACTTCTCTCCAGACCTATTTGACCAGTAATTTGGACTCTCATCCATGTATCTCTTTATTTAGGATTTACAGTCTTTGCCCAGAGATTGTGCTCCCCTATTGGTTAGTTTATACAAAGCCCCAATTTAATGATGTAGAACCAGCGGCAGAGAGGTGTGTTATCTCGATGGCCTCAGTGGCTCACTGGAGCGATTTTGTGTGTGTGTGTGTGTGTGTGTGTGTGTGTGTGTGTGTTTGTGAGAGGAAGGAGTTTGACAGCAAAAGACAGACCATGGTCCAGTGATCAACCCATCTCTCTCACTGAGCCATGCTGCTGGTAGCCTGAGAGTGTCAGATACCAGGGCACACCTACACACACACACACACACGCACGCACGCACGCACACACTCCAAGAAAGCAGCCGTGCACTTTTCCACGGTAATGGATATGTTTGGGTGTAAGAAAGAATGCAAGACGATGCACACATATCTCTTGTCACACCCTCAGGAGGTAATGATGTAGTTGAAGTGACCTTTTCCCAAGTATTTCTACCCTGTCCCCTTGCTGTTTTGAAAAAAAAAAGGTCCCTTTCCAGTACCATGTCAACTTTCTAACAACTTTAACAGGTGTTAAGTCAAGCTGACAACTCAACGGCTCCATCTGAAGGTCAGTGTCTTCACTTTAGCTTGTAGATGTGAAGCTACCTGTAGAGTGTATTCACCTCACCTTCACCACATTTCCTTTGCTTTTCAGAACCAAAATAGGGATATAATGGCATGACTGTAATAACCCCAGAAATGGAGACATGCTACTGAAGATTTGGAGATAATAGTCATCCAATGCTTGGATTTTAAAACTCCACATTTTATCATTGGGCCTGTGTGGCGTTAACCACTGGAGAATTTTCTTTGGTGTGTCACACAATGTAGTCCCAAGGTTTTGTTGAGCTTATTGCTGGAGTGAGTTCAGTTTTAACATGATGCAAAGATCAGATACTAAGGGGACAGCAAACAGTTCAATTAGCATGGTATTGCCATTCCAAAAATTATGCCCTGAGGTTAACATGTCAAAAACAGCTTTGGCAGAAGAGTTGTTAAGTGGTGGTGTAAATATTGGGTTCTTGCAGGGCTTTTAACTGTCATATCTTTTTGTTTTTCCCCCTCTTAAAGAGCTGCCGCATTACCTCTGACCCGTTAAATTAAACTGGTATTTGACTTTTCTATGAGGTGTACTAAATCATGTCAACCTCATAAAATGGTAAAACCATGACATTTAAAGCGGAGGAGTGGTGATGATATTTTAAGCTTAAGAATGATGCCTGGGTGAATCACATCTTTCCACTGCAACACTAAGTCAATGTCATGCCTGATATGTGCTCTTGCTTCATGCGACACCTCAAAAGGATTTTGAAAACCATACGGGGTGTATAATGCCGCGATCAAGTTAACAACACTGTCCAAAGAAGACAAATGAAATGCTCTTTGATTTTGAATCTTATATCAATTAAAAATTCATTGTTTTTTTAAATAGACTGTATGAAAGTGTTTTGCTCTTCAAACCAAAGCACAGAAATAAGACAAAGTTTTTCCTTTTTTTGCAGCATGAATGTATCTACTGGGAGTATTCTGCCTTTAACCAATCGTACCCCAAGCAAAAGCATGAACTGTTTTACTCACACTGGCTGAGGGAAGACATGCCTCAGAGGGGAGATGTTTATCATGTAGCATTTACTATCTTTATAGATCATGAAACTGGCAAATCAGGGCACTATCCTTTCCTTTGATGGACGTGCATGTCTTTAAGATGGTTTCTATCTGAGAGGGATTGTCTACGGTGGGGGAAAAAATGAATAGATGAAGAAAGATAAATAGGAGACATGTGCCCTCATGTTCATCTTATCTATTCATACCATCCCTCTAAAATATTTCAGTGTATCTGTGTAAGAATAGACGATCTCGCTTATTCATCTAATGGTTTTGCGTCTACATTTTTCTCTCTTTCTGCATTGGTCTTTGTTTTTTTTTTGTTTTTTTTTGTTTTTTTTTTACAAAGAAACTTTTTACCAGGATAGAAAATCGATCATAGCTTGCTTTAAAACCACCTGCCTAATATTGCGTAGGTGTCTTCTGTAATGTCAAAGCATCTCTGACCCTTTGGGGCATGGTCATGTGACTTATGGAGGTGTTGTGTAGTATCTGGGACAGTGACGTGGGTTGCACATCTTGTGGGTTGCTCTGTGGCTCCGTGCCCTCCCTGTGCAGACTGCATATGCTTTATCAGATTGAATTGCTAGCAGGTTGTAGACTGGCTCAGCATCTCAGGCTTTTTGTCAAGTGCTTCCAGCCTTTTCCAAACTGTTTTCTATTTTTTGAAGAGGCACAGAACTTATTCCAGCATTATCTCATCCCCCATTGTGGGTGAGATAATGCCATGGAGCAAAAAACTGCTGGCACATTTTAGGTGAGTTAAATAATCTACATATACCTTCAGTATGTTTCTTGGTGGACAGCCCTCTGAAAATAAGGAGGATATAGACTTTGCTACCTGTTCTGATACTCAGTTCATTCAACCAAGCAGATCTTTAGGCAGAGCTCGATACATTTTCACAAAGACAAATATGACACGCATGGATTCAGTTTGAATGTTTGCTTCTTTGTGGTTTCACTTGTGTTGCTCCAACAAACTAATAATTACTTATCAGCAGGTCAAGTTATTGAGTATCAAGAAGTCAGTGGTCAGCTGATAATGTACACCAAATTTAAGACCACGGGGCAAAAGTTTTACTGGCTCAAGGTTAGATCTCAGTGGTAAACATTAAATAAAACTTTAATCAGGTCAAAGCACATAATTATGTTTTAGCTACAAAGAGAAATTCAGATTTAAGATGAAGACAGGATGCATATCTTAAATAATAGTAAGTATTTAGATATCATAAGAAAATGGTTACTTCCTCAATAAAATAATTCCCAAAACTAGTACAATATGTTTCTCTGAAACGTAATGAAATGTTGAATTTATTGGTAAATTACACTAACTTGGAGTAATGTGTAGTATATAATGTAGAGTTTATTTACTGAAGAAATAGATAAGCAGTAAATCACTTTAATACTTGGTGAGTGTGCCCACACAGGATAGGCCCAGATGATGTAACCTACGAAAACAGCATCGTATGGTGAGAGTAAAGTGAATGGATGTGGCTGTTTGTAAAAATGAGGTTCCATATAAATAAGCAAGAGTGTATCATCCACATACAGGGTATATGTGTCAAAAATTGTATTTCCTTATACCTACTCTTTTGTTTATGTGTGGACTGGATATCTTACTATCATCATCACTTTGACTGTCTCTAAGCCTTGGTTTGATAGCGGAATATGGTTTGAATTTTACTCTGCTGACATTGTCTCCAACTAGACCAAAAGATTTATATAATTGTTTCACTGCTTTTCTGTTGCATGCTTATATAAACAGTATTAGCCTCCCATTGCAATGTCAGACAAATTCCAATGTTTTCTCCACTGACCATAAATTGGAATGCATGCTGGCTTTTTGCCCAGAATGTGAAGCCTTTTAAAACATAATTTAACGTATCATTTATAGAGCAATTGAGTGCATAAGACCCCCTTGAGTGACTCTGTTTTTCTGTCAGCAGCGAATAAATGCCAAGAACGTTTGTCATTTCAAACCGATATACTCAGTGTTTGTTGAAATGAGAGTAATGTTGTTTTTCTTGCTTAAAGAAGAAAATTAAAAACTTCAATTCTAGAGCGGCAAATCCTTCCTTATCACAGTAAACTGTTGATGCGCTTTGCAAAACAATAAAGCTCCGAAGCCACAAAAGTGTGGTCATTTTGAGAGCTTGGCTGCGTGCTGCACATTAAATTTGTCATGTTTGTGGCTGAGCCTTCTGTTTGATGCTGATATTTTCTCATCAGTCTTCTTCCCATTCTCGCATCAGCAGCTGTTTCGGCCCCCTCTTTGCCTTTTTCAGCATGCGTTTTTGTGTCAGC